CCGCTGGGGCTGGGGCGTAGAGCCCAGCAACTGCTGGGTGCGCCACCGTGGCGCGCGTCGGATGTCGTCACTCCGGTTCGGGAACCACTGGGCCCAGCGCTGGATGAAGGGCGGAATGGTGATGGCCTGCTACGCGGGAATGCGCGGCTGGATAGACCGCTGCCCCCGCTTGTGCCACCCCGCGGCCAGGGCGTCGTGGCCGACCTTCCGGCACTTGCACGTGGTGCTCGGGGCAGCAAGTTTGGCCTTGATCGCCGCGGTGGTCTGCGCATTGCCAATGCACAGCCTGTGGCCCAGGCCCCCCTTCTCGATCTCGGCAAGCGCGGGGGCGGAAGCGGGTGTGGCCCAAGGCGAAAGTCCCGGCTGAGACGGGGGCTCTGCTCGAACTCGCTCATTGATCCACCTGTTGGCACGGCGTCGAGGCGACCCAAATATTCCGTCGCTCTCGGGCTGGCGATCAGTGCCGAGCGGATGCGAGCCGCCCGGGCCATGCGCCGCGCCAGAGACAGCATAGGCCCTCGCCACTCGCGCGGGAAACATCGGTCGATGAAGCGGAATGTGCCTCCTGCGCGACTGCATGTCTTGACCAGCTGGCGGATCCTCGGAAGCGGAGCAGGCAATAATCGGCGCCACCTGGGCGGCGGGTCGAGATGGCGCGGGCGTTTGAAAGCCAGGCGCTTGCGACATTAGGAGCGGCCGTCGCCGCCAGCGCTGCAATCCGATGCTTGAACTCATGCCGGGACCCCCCCCCCCATTGTGGGCGAGGTCCGCAGAGGGCCCCCACCAAAAGCCATCGTGGAGCAGATGGAAGACCACTGCGTCCTCCCTCCAAGCTGGTACCACCTGCTGCGCGGCGTGACTGACCGTCGTCGATCATTGATGTTCGTGCGGGACCTCCAACGGGAACACTGTGCATTCCGCCGTCTTAAAGAGCGGCGTGACATGCGTGGCCGCCAGGTCCATCGCGTTCTCGATCTCGGGGAGGTCGCTGAGTGGGCAGAGGGGAGAGGGCGCCACCTATGTTATCCGCGCGCGCCATGGGCATGCCCAGCGAAATGATATCCATACTAGCCTCCAAAGAAGCGGTGACGGGGATAATGGCGGGCGCGCGCAGGGGCCCTGATAGCGCGCAGCCTTGCATGACGTCTGGAGTGGCCGTGAAAAGGGCGACCAGCATGCCGCCCGCGACCGCCACTGTTGCGGCGCAGGAGCGCAGGCGACGCGCAGCAGTCAGAAACGCCGAGGGCGCCGAGAGCTCCACGAGGACGAGCGTGAGAAACTCCGGCGAAAGGCTCGGGATGGCCTGGCCAAAGTCCATGGCGATCAGAAGAGAGCGTTCAACATGAGCAACCAGCATGAGACTGGTGACGCGCGCCACCGCGTGCAGCTTCCAGCACCAGTCCGCTGCGCGCGAAGCGCCTGCCGAGCGCGACGCCAATCTGCGAGGGGGGGGGGGGCGCGGGCCTGCGCGAAGGGGGCGATGGCCGCGCTGGGCATCGCCATGATGGGCTTCGCGCCGGCGTCGCGTAGCCCGAGCGCGCGCACTTCGTCGGGCCCGCGAATCTCACCTTCGTCAGGATGGTCGGCAGCAAAGGCGGCTTCGGGCAGACATGCTCGGCGTCGCCCGAGCAGCGGAAGAGACGCTCAAAGCTCATCAAACACAGGGCCCGCCCCAAAAGCACATCGGAGCAGCGACGGGCGGCTGCCCGGGCACGGCGGGGCAATCCGCCCACCCCAAGTGCAGGGCGGACTGCAGCCATGCGGTGCGCCGCCCTGGCCATGCTGCCAGCATTGGGTGGAGGCAACTCCCGGTCCGCGTTGGCGCCCAGGCGCCGGCGGATGCGACGGCGCGCGTCGTCGGGGTCGATGTCGCGCTTGAGGTGAACGCGCTGGTGGAGATGAACATCGCTAGCTCCCCATCACGAACGCCCCGCAGGACCATCGCGTTGCCGAAGCGCGCCCAGAGCTGCGCGCGCCGTTCAGTCGCGGCCATTCGCCCAGGAAGTCCGTTTTTTTTTTTTTGTTTTGTTTTTGTTTTTGTTTTTCTTCTCCTTTATTCTTCTTCTTCCTGCGGGCCTTGGCGGTCTCGGTTTGGATCGCAGGTGTCCTTCTGAGCAGCGTAGACGTGGATCCTGTCTGTCCCGCTCTGGAACTGCTCGGGGCGCTCAGCATCTACGTTGTCGCCCGCTGCCACGCGGGCGTCAACTTCCGATGATGATCGGCAAATGCGCTGGACCAGCCTGCAGCTGTTGTGCCGGGCCGAGCGCGCGGCTTGCCTGGCCAGGACGAGCTGAGAGATCGCGGCGTCGACCTCGGTCGCGCGCATCTGCTTCATCACCAGCGACGCCACTTCCAACTTCAGATCTTTCGTTTAAAATCACAGCATACTGAATACTGGGGGCTTCCCCGCGAGCGCGACGTCCTCGCGCGTGGCCGACCTCGCCGGCGCCGTAGCTCAGTCGGGCCTGCCGCGCGCCTCAGCGGGGAGGTGCAGCTCGGGCGGGGGTCGCGGGGCCCAGCGTTGGATGACGATCTGGAGGGCCGCGTGGTCATGGCGCCGCGGTCATGGAGCTGCTCGGCAGTTCTGACCACAGAGCCCTCGACGCCCAGCTGGTTCACCATCCAGGCATGCCATGACGCCCGTGCCCCATCTAGACTGGATAGGTTGCCCGTGTCCTTGCAGAAGTGGGTCGGGTCGTCTGCTGGGCCCTCGACCAGCTCGTCTAGGACCTGCTTCCAGCGCGCGACGGGGCACTTGCTGCTCTTGCGTTTTGGCGAGGTAGCTGACGCTCAGGCCGTCGTGGATCGAGGCGGGCGAAGGCCGCGCAGCGCATGTCGCCTGCGATGACAAGTCGCCCCGTGTTCAGCGGTGCTTGTCCCCGCGAACCGTCGGCAGCCAGCGCCCTCATGATGGCGCGCATTTGGCGCTGGGAGATGTCATGGTCCTGGATGTTGCAGCGGCGAAAAGCCGCGTCGGCTGCTTTGACATTGGCCTTCAGCGCGCGCTCTTTTGCATGTGCGATGGCTCTCGCTGCGCTGGCGCCTGCGTCCGGCAGCGGCATGGCTGCGGGGGCGCCGCCCGTTTGGCGTCCGCCCGCCTAGTCGTGGAAGAAGCAGCAGATCCTCGAGCGCGGTGCGATCCTTCCCACGCTTCAATATGCTGCTTGCTTTGGTGGACCTTTTGGAAGGCAACGAGGGCGCGGGGGCGGTCGCACTGCCGCGAATAGTCCGCCCTCTCGAGCGCACCCCGCCAGCGGGGCAGCGCGCGAGCGTTCCAGGTAACGCGTGAGATACATTTCTTCGTAGTTGATGCCGTCGTTGATCCAATGTAGACCTCGTGCTGCAGCTGGAAGAACTTCAGAGAGGAAAAAAAAAAAAAAAAAAAAAAAAAAAAAAAAAAAAAAAAAAAAAAAAAAAAAAAAAACGATCGGGTTGAGCGCTTTGGGCAAGCGACAGGGCGGATCAGGTCGCGCATCTGGTCTCGCTTGCGCATGTTATCCCCATGGCCCCTGGGGTTTCAGTATGCGGTGGTGGCCTCGCGCCCTGGGCGCGGCTGAAGCCGAAGCAGCGGCGTTCATCCCTCGGAGACCCATCCGCTGCCGCGGTCGAAGACGAGCTTTCCCGTTGGAGTTGCCTCGCGGGGGGTCCCCAGAACGCGCTTGCCCTGCATCTCTGTGCGGATTTGGCACTGCGATGTGTCTTGTCCGGCGTGGAGCTGCGTTGATGGCCCTTCCAGCGCTGGAACTGGGAAGCGTACCCCGTCCTTGTTCTTGAATGCTCCAAGCGCCTGCTGGACTCGACGCGCAGCGATGCCAGCTGCTCCCGTGAACTGCAAAGAGAACTTTGACTGTCGTTCGCCCTCGATGCCGTGCGTGCCGACCCAATCTGCGTCCTTGGGCCAGGAGTCGAGCGACTGGGCCGCGGCCTCTTGGGTGGCGAGGGCCGAGACTGTGAGCTTGAAAATCGCTGGGCCGACCTGTCGTTCGAAGTTCCTGTCCGCGGGTTTGGGCGGCTGCGGGGCGCGGCTGGCGGGGGCAGGTCCTTGCGCAACTGCCCCATCTGCTCCTGTAGATTGGTGAGCTGCTTGTCGTGGTCTCCCAGCTTCTTGCCGTGCTTGCGGAACCTGGTGCCATAACTGTCGAGTTGGTTCTGAATGCGATTCTCGAGGTCGTCGAACTCAGGCTTGACGCGTGCCGTCGCCATTGCTGCTGTCTCTCCAGGGGGTGCCTTGATTGAGTCGGCGAGTCGCCTAAAAGCTTCGCCGGTGGGAATCGCCGCCGTTTGGGTAGCCTCAGCGGCCGTGTTGGAGAAGGCGAGTTCGCACTCTTGTCTGGACAGGCCGGAGATTCGCGGATTTCGATGCGGACGAACTCGTGCACGTAGTCGTCGTACCAACTGTCTGCGCGAAAAACTCGAAACCGTCGCCGCCGATGCCAGCACCTTGGCCAGAACGGGACCTGTTTTCGTCCTCACCATGAGCAGCGCCAGCTCCAGGAACATCAGCCAGTGGCTTCATTCTCTTGGCGCCAATCACCTTCTAGGATTTACGCGTTCGATCAAGCATGGACCCGCTACCTCCGTGAAGCCGCGGCTGTGATGAGAATGCTGACCACTGCGCAGGCTGCGCGGCCGACACAATTTCCGACAGGGGTGTAAAAAGAGTGGGAACAACCTTCGGACTAGCCGTTCCCGGAGGAATACATCATCTTGAGCCAAAATCGCTACGGAGGAGGAGGAGGAGGGGGAGGAAAATCACTCCCCACGACCAACTCGATGTGCGCAATGTGGCGCCATCCCTCGGGCGGGCTTTCGTCAACGGAACGGGAACCATCGGGGGGAGAAGAATCGTGCACCTTCCGTGCACATGTGGGCCCGCGGGGACACTCTCATGCAACCCTCGATCCTACCACGTTGTCTGCCCCCCTGTTACCGTCCGCCCGTCTCTGCGGACCCCAACACAGGCCCCCCTCTTTTCCCTGCTGGGGCGTCGCTGGGCGCGCCCCGTAGGGGTCGAAGCTGGCGTAGAGCGTCTCGTCCTCCGCCGTGCCCTCTCGCTTCCGTGGCGGGTTGGGGAACGCAATCGGCGCCGCGCCTCCGAGCTGATTCGATGCAGTGGACACACACGGTAGAAGAAACTACTGCTTCAAGAAATCGTGGGGCACAGTCCTCGTCGAACTCTGAGGGTCCCGAGGTGCCCGCCCCAGAGCTACTGTGTCTCCGGGGCCATCGGGGAATAGGCACCTGCGGGTCGGCTGATCTCTTCTCTGATGTGCCTGTCATGAAGAACAACGCCGCGGCACCCGCTCTACCCCCGTCGGGACGTCAGGCTGGGTCCCTCCACCACGCCCTCTTCGTATGGGAACTCACGGTTGGGAACGTTTGCTTAGCGTGTCGCGGCGGCGACCCCCGCGACACGCTATGCCCTGCAAGCGGATGGCGTGTCACTCCGTTCCGCGGGGCGGGAGGTTGGGAAAAGCTCGGGACGTTGACGCTTGGGAATTGGGAGGTGGTTAGCGCGTCGCGCCGAAGCGTGGTGGGCAAGAATGAGCGGAGCGACACGCTAAGCCAACGTTCCTGACCGTATTCTGTGGTGTATCGTCTTCTCTGTCCCACTTCCACGGCACTTGCGACAATGATTGATGATCTCCTCCTGGAGCAGTGTTCATATCCAGAACGACGACGTGCTGCAGCGAGAGACGGATCAGGGCATGACGGCCGTCGAAGCGAAGAGAGCGAGAGCAGACAGACAGAGCATTCGTCGCCGAACCGTCGTGGCGCCAGCCAGACAAGCAGAGCATTCGACACGCCGCGCGGCGGCTGGTTCCACGGGGTCACGCTCAAGAGGAGGCGGGCAAACAGGAGGGGAAAAGACACACGGACGCCGAGAAGTGAAAGCCCAGACACTCAACGCACACCTACGCCAGCAACTGGCAAAGGAGATGACCAGGAGGAGGAGGAGGAGGAGGAGGAGGAGGAGGAGGAGGAGGAGGGGGGCCAGTGTAAACCCAAGACGCATCAACGATTTTTCAATCAACCATCCTGTAAGTTAGCTACAAGGACTACTTCTCACAGAGAAGGAACTCCGTTGAAACATCTCATCTGACAACCCGGAACTCTACCAATTCCTGGGACTTCAACGCCACGAATAAACGCTACAGATGCGTCCGGACGGTCCTGAACCAGGGCGGAACACCATCCCTTTGACCTCAACGCCGCAAATCATCATCACTGTTGCGCCCTGACAGTCCTACATCCTACCAACATGCAAACTCTGCGACGCCAGCCATAAGAATCCGTGACACCGCTGTGAACTTGTCAAACGAATGTCTGCGGAGTTTAGGCGAGAAACTCATTAAACAAAAAACACGGTGCGAGGGCTATCGCCGCTAAATGGCCATGCCCGCAATCGTTGCTTGAGCAGCTGCGCGCCGGTGTCTCCATCGACCATGCTCGCGGTGTCGTGGTGAGCATGTCACTCACGGCTGGAGGGCCCCAAAGACCCAAGATGGCGAAATACCTGCAGGACCCGTCTCCCTTACAGTCGAAACGCTGTCATAAGGAACCCTCGATAAGGAACGAGGCCCTTTTTCTGTTCCAAAAAAGCTGAACTTCGACTCCCTATCAAAAACCGCAGGAACACCTAAAACAAACTGTAAACCAATTAAGAAACACTGAGTCCCTCCCCAACGAACAGGGTTGCTTCTTCAGCGGTCCGACTGTATGACCCATTTTCGTGGCGAGGGGAGGGCGGGGCTGCTCCCTGGGCCTCTCACGCGGTCCTGACCAAGACTTCGAGGCGAATGCCGCCGTGGTGAAGACGGCCCCACACGAAGTCCATCGTGCGGGTGATGCTGGGGGGGGTGGTCTAAAGGGGGGTGAAGAAGAGGCCCTGAAAGGCCCCTTTGGGCCCCTTGTGTGCCTCTGCTGGTTCCAAAGGGGCCGTCAAGGGCATCTTTAAGGCCCATTTCTTCACCCCACACCCATTTCGGCCACCCCCCATTACCACCCGCCCGAATCGAGGAGGGCGAACACGAGGAAAGGGTATCGGTATCAGTACGGCAAGATCGTATAGGGGCGAATCTTGCATGGGCTTTTGACACCGCGTGGAGCGTTCAGCCTGGAACGACCTCGGAGGATTTCAGATCCTGCAGTATCGCCCGATTCTGGGCTGGCGGCGTTCAGCCTTAAACGCCCGCGCTGGGGTCGCCGTCGCGTCGACACGACACGAATTTACACCACGATATCCTAATATGATTCGTTTTTTTTCTCATGGCACCTTTTCCAATGATGGTTATTCGCTGTTAATCATGGGAGGGTTAGCGAATCAGCTCACGTAGCTAATTCGCCCGACGCCTCCCGTCACTGGAGGGTCCCATGTTTTTTTGTTGTTCTCCCCACCCCGCGCATCGCTCCACCATCACGCAACCGCTTGACTGGAAATCCGCATGCCCCGGATCCACCAGCCCGCCGAAAATGAAACGAAGGCGTCAAGCGTTGAAACGTTTCCCCAGCAGCACTCAGTTTGGAATCCGCTTCCCCTCATGGGGGCAATTCGTACCGGTCAGAAGCTCTATAGCGGCAGAGCAGGCCCATAACGGCACAGAACTAAACGAGCACAAACGAGCACAGCATGATTCACTGCGTGGAGCTCCCCATATGTGCATCTATTCGCATGGACCTGTCCGCCATGAATGTCTAGGCGCAAGAGCTTTCGAATATACACGGGCTTCAGTTGTGGCGGTCTGGACATAAATCTAACTGCGAATGAATTGGAGTGTGAATGAGCCTCAGTAGTACGAGCGCGTCTTTGTGCATGAGCCTGGGGCCTCCTGAAACCTACTGGGGCTTCCTGGGGTCTCCAGGAGCCTTTTGGGGCCTCCTGGGACCTCCTAGGGAGGTTTCGTGCCCCAGGAGAGGCGCAATCTATAGCAACAGACGTACATAAAACATTGCGGATTAGAGCCGCACACCAGGCAGCCCGCGCAGCACGAGCCGATCCCGCCGCCAAGAAGGCGAGAGCCGCAAAATGCGGCCAGGAGGCTCCGCAACAGCGGCCTCCAAGTTGCAGCGCGCTCGCCACGCTGCCTGGGTGTGCGCCGTCAGGTGAGGCGGCCACGCGAGCCACCATCCACCCCGTGCCGAGCCTGAAAAGGCCCAGACCACCGTAGGCACTCCCCAGCTTACACGGCGCTGGCGGGCCTCCAGCTCACGGACTCCAGCATCTGCCGAAGCTGCACGCTGAGCTGAGGCCCGTAGCCAGGCGCCTGCCGAAGGAGGCAGTCGGCACGCTCGAAGACCTCCCCAGGGCCTTCCGAGGCTGCAGCTCCGCCGCCAGCAGGCGCCGCTCCCGCGAGCGCCGTGCCCAGCTCCGCCGCCGCCCTCGCCGCCTCCGCCTGCGCCTTCGCCCGTGCGCGCCTCGGCCCACGCCGCCGTGGCTCGGCACCGCCAGCCAGGCCGGCGCGCTCGAGGCCGCACGCAGCAGCTCCAGCAGCACCTCCCACTCCGCGAGCGAGCTCCGCCGCTTCCGCCGCCGCCGCCCCGCCCGGGGCCCTCGCAAGGGCCAGCGCCGCGCCCGCGGGAGCGGCCGCCGCGGCGGCCAAGCCAGAGCCCGTGCCGCCCGCGCCAGCAGCCGCCGTCTCCGCGACCCACCTGCCCTCGCGCCCCCGCCCAGGCCGCCGCCGCCCGCCGACAGGCAGGCTGTCAGCCCAGGAGTCGTCGACCAACGAGGCGAGGTCTTCGTCGTCGGCGCCGTCGACCGCCACCGCCGTGGGCAGCAGGGCGAGCCCCAGGCCCGCACCAGTACTGCCAGCACCAGCCGTCGTCACGTCGCCGTCGGTGTTTTCCTGCTGCTTGCGAGCCGCGCGCGCCGCGCGGCGGCGCCGACGCCGCGCCCGCTTCGCCTCCGCGGAGGCACCAGCTGGGCGAGCGGCATCGCCAACGGCATCAGCAGCATGATCGTCACGTCGGCCGTCTGCAGCGTGCGCTTGCGTCGTCGGCCGCGCCGCGAACGCGGCGGCCGAGACTGCAGAGCGCGCCACTGCGGCGACCGTGCGGCGCGGCGCGCCGCCGTCCACAGCGCCGCGGACAGCCGCGCGCACCAGCAGCGCGAGGTCGTCGGCGGCCGTGCCAGCCCCTCTAGCCGCGCGCAGGCCAGCCATCCCGAGGCGGGAGGCCGAGGCGGCGCGGCATGCGAACGCTTGAGCCAAAATGGCTTGAGCCAAAATGGCTACGGAGGGATTAGAGCCACAGGAGAAGGGCAATCTATAGGAACACGCGTAAAACACCAAGGACTCGTGCCCCAGGAGAGGCCCAATATATAGAAACATACGTAACACATGTAGGATTGTGTACACAAGAGAAGGACAATATATATATATATATATATAGAAACATACGTATAACATCAAAGAATCGTGCTCCAGGTGAGGCCCGATCGATAGGAGCATACGTAAAACACATGGGATTGGAGCCACTCCTGTTGCCTTCTGAGGCCTCTTGCTCCTGGGGCCTGTCGGGGCCTCCTGTTGCCTTCCGAGGCCTCCTGGTGCTTCCTGTTGCCTCCTGGGGCCTCCTGTGGTTTCCTGAGGCCTTCTGGAGCTTCCTGGGGCCTCCTGGAGCCTCTTGGGACATCCTGTAGCCTCTTGAGTCTTTCTGTGGCCTCCTGATGCCTCCTGGGACCTCATGTGGTCTCCTGGGGCCTCCTGGAGCCTGTGGGAGCCTCCTGTGGCATCCTGAGAAGAATCTGCGCCCACGAGCCTGGCCACCAAAACAAGCAAACCGCTCGAGACATCCTCAAAATCTGGCCCACCTGGGAGGTCAAAATGAGCGCCTCGCTCGAGACATCCTCCAAATCTGCTCCGAAAACGAAAGATGCTGGCACAGAAAACAAGCAAACCGCTCGAGACATCCCCACAAAATTCCGCGAACGGGACCCCGTGAAATACCCCCCCGCCGCCCCCCTTAGAGTGCTGAGACGAGCGAATCGCCTGAGACATCCTCCAAATCTGCTCCGAAAACGAAACATGTTGGATCAGAA